CCCAAAACCCCAAAACCCCAAAACCCCGCGGTAAAAGATTGAAGTTAAGAAATGATAAATTTGAAAGAATTAATACAATCACTAAGAATTAAGGTATTTGTATAAAAAATATTTTAGTTGTATTTGAGATAAGCATTTATAGATACTTTCAAAATAATTAACTTTAAGGTCTAATATTTGCAAAGTGATTCATTTCTTTGAAAAGATTTTCCTCTCTCCTCTTTTATGATACTTTTGCTCTCATATGGAGATAACCTTCTTCCTTAGTTATAATCATTGCTGACCCAGCTTTGGATAAAGAACCATAATTCTTATTAGCATAACTCATTCTTTGGTGCTGTGATCTTGTGAGATTGCTTTGTGGAGGACTAATCTGTAAAGAATACTTTTTGTCCTGATTCATTAATTAAATTGATGAAGATGCTGCATCATATAAGCTATTATTTTCATGAGACCTTATAGGCTAAGGACTTTGATAGAACTATGGCTTACTGCTTAGTTATTTACTCGTTACTGAAATGTTATCCTCTTTACTTAAAATCCTTTAATAAGCTGATCTTGATCTTGCACTTGGTATCTACTAATACATCCTCTGCTAAAGCCTTTGATTTAGTAGATCTTAACTTTGTAATGATTTATCTGGAATAAGATTCGAAACATTTTCTGTAAAATCTCCTCTTTTAAACTGTTAGTATTTTTGCATTATTCCCCGGCTTAGCATTGATTTTAAATTATTCCCTTAGATAATAGGTTCTAAATTGATATTCATCGGATGTTCATTTGGCTTATTATTAACATCTTGGATTTCTATCTAAAATCTTTGTACTTCAGCCTATTGTCCACCTACAATAGCTGGTCCATATTTTTTCATAAGTGAATCCCTAATTCTATCTTTGAAAGCCTACTGACTTTTCTCCTACTCAATTTATCTTTGTTACTCAATTTTCTTTAAAAATGCAGCTCTGATTGGGTTAGGCTGATCAGTTATTAGTGCATTTTTATTATTGCTTTCTGGAGAATTCGCTGATTTTATTTTTGAGAGTTCTTAATTATCCACAACTGAAGAAATTTTATGGAGTTACTCTTGATTTTTGTTAAATTTTTCTAAAAATATCTAAGCTAAGGTCTTTTTCTACATTGTCTCTTAAAAATCTTTTAGTAGATGATTATCTGGCTATTCTTCCAACATCTGCTAAAACTATTTGTTCATCTCCATTTACTCAAGTAATATCGCTGAATGTTCCTCCTCAAACTCCTCTTTAATAACATCTTTATCAAAGAAATTAAGCATAGAAGATCCTAGTAGGCCTAGATCATCATAGTCAGAAAAACCTTCCTCGTCCCTGTCATAAGAATGCCCCTAAAACTCTTTAGGTAAAACTCTTTCCTCTATATACTATATCTTTCTTATGCAGTCCTTAAGGATTGTGATTATTTCTTAGCTGAGATATTCATTCTAAATCTTCCCCTTCTAGATAAAATTGTCGATCATTTTTTCGCACTTCAAAAGTGAAGTACCTAGTATGTTCTTCTGATAATTTTAAACAACAGCTTAAAATTTTTCATATTTTTGCTATGCTTTCTTTTTTAAATAACCTCTTCGATTAAATCTCTTTTAGTATAATTTCTGAATTTATATGACAATCAAGACAACAACTTGCAGAGAGATTCGATCATAGTTAATCTCTTGGTTAAAGTTGAAATTTTATGCTATGTCAGAATCACCATAAGTGGATTCCATGTTGTTATTAAAACCTGATTACGAATTCGGCACCTTTTGATATTTGTATTATGATCTAGCTGATTGTTCAACAAGTGAACCGCTTACGAAATTGTTGATCATTGGAACTCAGTTTATTTTATCTACGCATTACTTGATAAAAGATTGAACAAATATCCTTACCTATATACTAAATTGAATGGTTCAGTTGAGTATTTGATTAGATGTTTAATGTATTTTTAGGAGAAACTCTAAATTTTCTCCTTAATTTGAAGTAGCAAATGCAAAAGATAATTGTAATAATAAGCAGTATTCCAAATGCTCCTATTGTACCCATAAAAACTACGAATCCATAATTTTTTAAGAACTAATTGCAGTCTATATATAAGTAAACTGAGATATTGAATAAGGATCAAAATTATTTACCATTATTATCTTGCAAATTAAGGTTCCTGAGCGGCATATTAATTTATTTTGAAATGCATTGATTAAAATAAAGGATTAATACTACAAGTAAAGTTAGTGTGCTTTTCATTTGCTTGTTACAAATTTATAACTTTTTTCTTTATTAACTTTATAATAAAGCTCTGTAACAAAGGTGTTTGAGATATAAAATCTCATAACTTGAATTAAAATTTATGAGTAAATTTAATTAAAGACCTAAGTTAATCTGCAAACCACTATAAATATTTCTAATCTGCCTCACGGGGTTTTGGGGTTTTGGGGTTTTGGGG